GTCCGCGACACCCCGTACACAGGAGGGCCCTGTCCCGTCATTCCCCTCGGCACAGCCAAAGCCTTCAGCTTATTTGGGAAAAGCCTGGTCCCCACTGCCCCGCGGGTGAGGAGGCCAAGCAGGGACAGGCAGCGAAAAAAGGGATGAGGAGGGATTTTCATCTCACATTTCTCCTTCCTCTCAATCGTCAGCTTTCTGCTGCCCTTATCAGTGCCGGGGTGGCCGAGGGCAGGGGTGACGTGATGGCCTCAGCCATGAGCTCAGGGCACTGCTGTGATGGCATCGATGAAATGGTGAATGTCTGGAGGAGAGTGGCGAGACAGGCTGGAGATTCAGGAGAGAGTTAGGGAAACAGCACCCGGAGAGCCCTGGGTGGAGGTGGTAGTGGCTGGCTGGGGGAATTGTGCCCCTGCAGCCCTGTCCTGCACTGGGAAGATAAGCCCCAGGCTGCCTGGTGGCCCTGGGCCAGGAGTGCGGGCCTCCCTGCCCAGTGATCTGGCTGCAGCCTGGTCCCACAGCCTTGCTTAGCCAGGGGCATCCTCCTGCAATACCCCTGCTCCAGGTCCCACACAAGTAGGGAGTTCATGCCAGCCCTTCTCCAGGGTCAGGGTCCCCTTCATGACCCCATAGCAACTGTGAGCCAGAGCTTCATGTTTTAGTGCATTATTTGAGGTGACTCACACCGGCATCTTAGCGAGCACATCTCAGTGCTGAGCTGGAGAGTCTACCCTGGTACCACTGCTTGCGAGGACTGTGGGGCTGTGGGGAGCTGGGCCACCTCTGTGCGCATGAGCCCATGACCAAGAACTGCATCTAAACACAACCAGTCTTGGTACCTGGGTTTGCAAACCCAGAACCTGCCTTTTTTGCCCCAGAGACACTGGGCAGCATGTTTGCTCCCTTAAAAGTGCCCTGGTCCTCTGGGACAGACCAAATGGGACTGTTCGGAAATGCAATGATGCTGAAACCATTTACTGGTGTCTTTCATTAAGTGGTAGCAGAGAGGCTGCTGTCCGTCTTGGGGTGTTCCTGTCCTGGTGTTGCTGAGCAGGCACCAATAGCTGGACACCAGGACGGTTCATGGCCATGGTGTCCCCTCAGCCCCAGTGTGCCTCCTTGGGTCCACCCCAGCTCTGGTGTTTGCCGTCAGCCTGGTCATGGGCCCTGCCTGGCCTCCACACTGTTCCTTGCTGTGGAGGGATCATGCTCCCAGGATAGCGAGTGCTGCCATATCCCGAGCCTGCTGCAGCCTCCTCTCCCTCCCACGCTGCCTCTTGGTTCCCCAGTGTCACTGAAGCCCTGCTGGGAGCTGGGCACCAGGCATGGCCGAGCAGAATGGTCACCGGAGCAGAGACCCAGCTGGGACTCAGCCTGGAGCTGGGTTTTTCTGTCAACAGGGTCAGGCCAGGGAAAATGCTTGTGAGTTTTTGAATCACCTGGTTGGATTAAAGTCCTGTTCCTCTTCTGAGTGTGAGCAAGTATCAATTTCAGCCCTTACAGGTATTTTTTCCATGTGCATCTGGTCCCACACAGCCCTTTATAATCCTCCTCGGAACAGTAACACAGTGGATTATGCCTGGCTTTAGGAGATGATCTGCTGAGACAGAAGTTTCTGTACCTCATATGACAGGGATGGCAACAACTCACCCTGTGCATCCCTGACGACCCTGCTCTTCTGGTTCAGTCCAGGGACTCTCCTCCAAAAAGTGCCCACTGAGCATCCCAGTTACCACCTCCCAGCCCAACGCACTCACTTTGCTGTGGCACTTTCTGGTCCAGCCTTTCCGATGCGACAGACACTGCCGTCAGTTCTCCCTGGACCTCTGACACAGATGCCGAGCAGCGCCCGTGTCCGATAGCCAGCACAGCTCCACAGGAACAGGGAGGGAGCCAAGAGCAGTGACAGAGACAGAGCCACCGAGTTAGAGAGAACTCTCTCAATACACTGCTGCACGATTTAGAGAGTGTTTTAAAGAGGAGCTGTGCCTTCACAGCATGCTGTCTGGTGGAGAAGGGGGAGAGACTGCATCTCATTTTCCTCCTGCAATCCCCAAGGAAGCTGAGCATTTCCTGCCTGCACAGGCAACACAGCAGGTCCCCATCCAAACCAGGCACGCTCCCCAAATACGGCACGCTGCTGCTGTCCCAAGCCTGGGGAAAATACTTTTGGGAAAGAAGCCACTGCAGGCAAGTGGAGATACCCTGCACCTGACTGAAATATCAGCTTTCTCCTCCCTGTTAAAATCAGGCAGGAGCTGTGACACTGGAATCTACTGTCCCAGTGCTACTGGTGCCACTGAACGCTATCGTCCTAAGGCAGCCTGACTCGTGGAGGCCGAGGAGGCTGCACCTTGCGCCGACCTGCTCCCATCCACCAAGGACACAGTGAGAGGGTGCACCCGGGTGGAAGCACACGGGCACAAGCGACACTCAGTCACCTTTTTTCCTCAAAGAACACGTGCAAAACTTTTCTTAGTTACTATCATACACAGACCAGTCATTTATTCCAGGGCTGCAGCACTGCTGGGGCTACAGGCTCCCCAAGATGAGTATCAGCCTACGTGGAAAATGTCAGCGGGCAATGAACCCCAAACACCCCTTCTCACCGTGCTGACAGACACCTGCCCAGCAGGGGGATGGCAGCAGTTAACTCTCAGGACAGCAGTTGCTTCTTTTTACCAGAGGCAACAGCCCAGTTCCTGCATTTCCTGCCTTCCCAGCAGTTTTTCATGGCATGAAACTGTTCTCAGCATGGCACATCTCACCTGATGCCACATTTCCCTCTCTGATTCAATAATTTAACTCATAAAGGAGGAGCTAAGAACAAGATGGCTTCAAATTGTGATGGGAAAAATAATTCATTCAAGAAGTAAAGGCCAGCTCTGATGAACAATTCAGGACCCTGGGGTCTGTGAGATAATGATCCATCATCTCTGCCCTGATGGCACCGCAAGCCCAGAACAGAGGCAGGAGCATGCCAGTGGCAGCTGGGGCAGCAGCTATAGCAGAGTTACGATCCCCAAACCCCACTAAACTCCCCTGGTGAAAGCAAAGGACTGAATTTTAGGTTGGAACTCCTAAGTCTGGCTGCTTAACACCCCAAATTGCTGTTAAGATAGCCCCTGCACACCTGCCCCCTCCATGCTGCAGGCTGGGCACCTCAGGCATTGCCTCTTATCTCCTAGGGCTGCCACAGGCCCATTCCTCACCTTCTTTTATGTCCAGACCAAAATGCTTCAGGCTCCCCCACTTTACAGTTTGATCAGCCACTGCTCTCTCATTTCCACCCCCCCACCCCATCCACTTCAACAGGCAAGGCTGGCTTACTCTGAAGTGGAAGCCACTTCCAGTCCTTCTTGCTAGGACTGCTGGGGAGGACTCAAGTGTCTGAAGCAGTCCTGGTCCCTTCCAGTCCCCAGCTTAAAGGAAAGGTCACAGTTCAGGACTTGCAGCCTTCTTTAATAGCTTCTCTTATTTAGGAAACTGTCCAGTGCCAGGAAAAAAGAATCCTTTCCTCTCTCCTAAATACCCAAGCTGTCAGGACAAAGCAGCTGTAACTTTTGCATTTACTTTCCAATTACACACACACAAGTAACAGAAGGGAAAAAATAAGAAACAGGTAAGTATATTTTGGCAAGGAGATTGAATCTCCTTGGAACACGTTGTTGCTAGAAGCAGCAGTGGTCAACTGCTGCTCTCACTCAGAAAGCTGAGCCCAAGCACTCGGTGCCTAAAAGTGATGTCCCTCTGCTACTGCAGATCACAGCAGGACTTCAGGCACCTCACAGGATGGACAGACCCCACTCTGACACCCGGTTCCTTCTTTTTGCATGTGAATGAAGCACAAATTCCAGAAAGCTGCTGCCACTACAGCTGGCTGTTTCTCCCCCAGGAGCTCTCACAGGCAGTTAACACACTTATGTCCTCCATCAAAGGCCAGGGTTCCAAGAACTCCACGTTGGACACTTTTCTGCTTTTATTTAAAAAAAATCCAGAATGGATCCAATAACAGTTTTATTATCAAGGAAGTTGTTTTATCGTAAGCAGAGAACAGACACAGGATGGAGCAGAAGGCTCAGACAAGCAAAGTATTTAACCTCCACATAGCCTCTTTTGCAAGAAATAACATTACAGCTAAATTTGAAGTAACCCTTCTCTCCTTCAGAACAAGGCTACTAACCTAGCTGCAGATCTGAATGTTCTCTAGCCACATCCTCAGCCTTGTGCTCACAGCCCTTATTGCCCACTCACAAGTACTCAGATCCACAAGGAGGGTCCATACAGCGGTTATTCTCCTCCCAGCTTGAGCAGGACTTCCACTTCCACCCTTTGATTTAGCAACATGGTTTCCAACATTGATATCTGATTTAGTACACCATTGTGTCAAGTATCAGAAATAAATGATCAGCAAGTCCCCAGGTATCTCAGTTGAATACCACTCGGGCATAACACTTAGAACTTCATCTGGCATGAATTAACTTCCATCAAGTGACAATTTATCTAGCAGACACATCACTAAGTTTATACATTAAAGAATTTTATATATAGAATACTGCAAAAACACAGTAAGTCTGAATTCTGCCCATTGCTGCTCAGGAAGGTCCCTTCTTTCCCAAGCGTCAAGACAATTGACCTCTTCTTCATACTCTAGGTCAAGGCAAGACAGAGACTTCTTATTGCTTCTCTTCCTTCTGATCACCTGAACTTGCAGAACCCTCTCGTTCAGAGGCCATCTGTGAAAGAGTTGGCTCATTAGTTGTAGTAACAATATGCTTTCCCAAGATTTATTTTTTTACTACCTAGATCCTAGACTGAAGAAACCCTTCCTTCAGTGAAAAGGGTAACCATCCACTGGAGAATGGAAACCATCCTCATCTCTGCATGACTGTTGCTAAGAGGGAGGAAGAATCTTCCCATTATTTACGGTTTCCAAGTGGACATAACAAGCTTACACTGCAGCACTGAACATTCTCAGTCTGACATCAGAAAAGGAGGGCTCAGCACCACAAAGGTCACCCAGGCAGAGTATGCCACTTCCATCCTGGGAGACTTCCCCAGACAGGTGACATACACACCTGCCAGGGCTCAAATGGGTGAGCCTTCCACTGGGAAGGATATTGAGAAGAAAGCCCTGATGAACTTACCTTTGTAATTTTAGGCAGACTGAATAGGAAGCCTGTTTTACAATCATCCTTAAATTAAGTCCAGATGTTACTTTACTTCTTTAGGCACTCTACATACCCAGGGGAAAGCTCTATCTGTGCTCTTCTTGATGCTCCTTATCAAGAGCTTCCACCACTTTTACATACACCACCATATGGAAACACTGCCTGGAATGCGGGCTACCTATGGCAGCATGGCCAAGACTTCAGGCCTTCAAATCTACCTGACTTCCTATAGCAAGTGTCACTCAGAGGGAGCTGCACGGAGACTCAGCACTACCTCCAAACACAGCTCTTACCTGAATGTTTGGTGTCCCCGCCCAACACTCCCTATCCAAGAGCTATAAAGCAGAAATGACCATGAACGTACCTTCTTGTATGCCATTTCAAAGAGTTTCAAGGAAGCCTGCTGCAGGCTCGTTGCTGCCTGCCTGATGTTTTCTCCTGTTTCAGTATCTTTACGAGCCAGAAGTTCTCTCATTTTGGCAATTTCTTCCTTTAATTTGTTGCACTGCAAACAAGGCACAAAAACACCATGAAGTCCTGCACTTCGTTCACCGAGAATCTCATTCCTGTCATTTCACGCGCCTGCTGGCCACAGCAAAACTATCTTTTTCACCAAAAGCCACGAAGTTAAGTCTCAGACTAGGCCATATGTTCTTCAGGGACCAGGACTTCTCAACAGGCACCTGTCCACTTCTAAATGTGCCACAGTTGGCATTAATTGGGCCCCTTGTTTGCAGTCTCAGCAGAGGTGCCAAGGACAGAAAGCCCTGCAAAGCCTGAGCAGCTCATCAAGGACAAGAGCTGCTCTCTTTGGCACACCTCACCAGTGAGCCAGGGTAAAGGGAACATAAAGCTGGTTTTCATCTTTATTTAAGGCACTGTCAGAAAGCCAACAAGTAAGGCTGTTCACCATCCTGTTTAATCCCTTTGTTGCATGTGGGAGAAGGAGCAGAGAGGCAAACCAAAGCAATGCTGTCTCATCCCAGCTCTTGTAGCCATCTGTCAAACCCTTTGCACAGTCTGGCTTTACTCTGTCAGACTGGCACGCTGCTGGAGAGGCAGGTCTGGAGAAGCAAGGTTACTTGGGGACAGCTGGGCCAGCAGTGCTTGCTCAGCAGTGTTCACAGTCAAAACATGGGCAGAGTTCTCATTCAGACCCACAGGAAGGGGAAGACGATGAACACTTTCTATGTCAGGCCACCCAGACCTCACGTCTAAGCACTGCTACCCACTTCCCCTTGGTATTCCCCAAAAGACATTACAGGGAACTACAGTCCTTGCAGGGAACAGGGATTTAGGCTCTGTGCTCCTGTGAGAGGAATCTCCAGTGATCATAATCCAAACAGTCAGCCAAGAGACATCCTAGAGAGAGGAGCTGGGCTGAAACACAGCATTTTAACTGGTCACAGGCTACTTACCAATAAACTACTATTTTGTTTCCTCAAATGTTTTACAAAGGCCCTAAGAGCCTTTTTATTCTGCATCCAAGAGCTGTTAACTTGAGAATTGGACAATCCATCCTAAACTTGGCTTTTGAAATTCATCATGCACAAATTAAACCGTCACTTAGAGTGGTATGAAAAGCACTCTTTTGATACTGAATATCCACTTCACTCCAAAGAGAGAAGAAAAACTGGAGTTAAGTAGCTACAGTAATTTTCATTGCCTCCCAAGTTCTTGGGTGCTATGTTTGCAGTGCCAGGACTGCGCAGCAGCTTTGTTTTTGTCCCTCTGCTAATACACTGATAGGCTCTATGAACAACTCTCCTCTCATACAGGCCACAGTACAGTTCTCATGAAACCACCACAAGGTCAAGGACATAATTCATGCAGAAACCTTTCATTAACAGCTTCCCAGGCTCTTAGATCTTCAGTGACACTGAACTTGCACTTTGAAATAGGATATTTGCTATTATTCAAGCCATGTTATTCTAAGTATGGCTCTACATCCTCTCATCAGCCACACTCATCCTATTCATAAAGTGCAAATACCAGAAGTCTATGATTGTGCCATCTTTCTACAGCATGGAAACGTGGACAGTCTGTGTCACTGGCAGAGCCAGCTGTGAGTTAAGTGAGTTAAATTTCAGCAAAGATATAGTAAGGAACTTTACCTCCTTTACTGTTATGGCATCAGAAATTACCTACCTCATCTGCTGGCAGCTGATCCTTGAACTCCTCCATCTTGGACTCTGTATCATGAATGATGCCTTCGGCCATGTTCACAGCTTCCACACGTTCCTGGGTAAGAGAGCTCATAAGGGCCTACTGCACACACCACTGTGGTATGAGTTAGTACAGATCAACTAGCAGCTCACATTTCTTTCCCCAAACTGCCAAATTCTATTCTAGCTCCCAACCAGGGTCCTTCTGAATGGCAAGGGCAGGGGAAGAAGATATGCAAGCAAATAATTTCTAGACGCATTCTGGCACCAGAAAGCCCAAACAGGCAGCCTATGCAAGGCAGTCCTCATGTTTTCACATTTTTCTCAAAAACACACATTTCTGGAAGCAGAAGCAACTAATGCAGCATGACTGCTGGCCACGACACTGAAAAAGCCAGCTCTCTGCTCTGCTCCTCAGGAAAGCAACAGAGCTTTTGGAAAGTATTCTTAAGCTTCTTCAGCAACAAGGGCACTAGAGAACTAAAAAGCTGGGATGCTTTATTCCATATCACAAATGCTTGTAGCATCTCAACAGTGGAAAAATCCCACTGTGCTAGGTAAGAAACACCAGTTCCTCATGTTACTGTTGCAAAGACAACCAACAGGGGACAGAATAGGCTGGAAGGACATAGAAGCAGTAGTCATCCTCAGACATAACACAGGCCCAGTGTCAACATGAACTATTTCACCAGCAATGGTCTCTGGGACATCCAGCTCTCTCCATCTGAAAGCGCAGTCCACCTGAACAAGAGAGCCTCAACGTTCTCACAAGGCTAATCGCTTACAGTGGAGAGCTGACGAGAACTAGTTTTGTTTCTACACCATGTTTTCACTCTTTGTGGGATGTCACAGTAGGATGCCAAGTCCAGCACAGCAACAGCTCTTGTTTATGCATTCATGATACTGCCATAGCAGTAAAACCACAATCAGAAAGGTGTAAGGAGGGAATGTTGACAATTACAGTTGTGCGGGTCAAGTGAAGAGACAGAGAAGCATTAGTTAAGAGAGCAACCCTATCATTTTCATGCGACAGGTCACCGGACAGAGTCCCACTTCAAGACTGTAACAGGAAGAACTTATTCAGAGATTTACGATTTAAAGTCGAGGCAAGGCAACAGGAAAACGTTTTCAGTGCGGTCTTCAAATGCCAGGCTACCATCTGTGCTTCACAGCAATGATGCGGTTATTTCAACAGCAGAACTAAGAGACCAATGTCTTTAAACGTTCTCTATCTAACCAAATGCTAGTAAGCCAATGCTCTTTTGTGGCTTTAGAGCTTTTGAGGCATGGAGACGCTGATTCACATGAATTTATTCCACGCATTCTCTCCTTTAGTCCTCTTCTGATCCCCTCACTACTGAAGGTGAGATCTACAGTGCAGCTTGAACACCTGAAACAGGTTTCTACAGACTAGAACACGAAGCAGACAAATTCAGTGTGCTAGTTTCAGCAACTGCCAAACGCATGCTGGTGCTATATCCCAGAGCAGGAATACTATGTCTGCTTAAAAATCAATGCTCTATATTTAGTAGCATAATTCATTAGTACTATCCTCATTAAACCAATTAGCTCCAACCATTAGTCCTATGAATATCACAGATTCAGTCACTCAACCATGGCAAATGGCAGTTGTTTCTTGACAAAGTCAGTGAAGCTTTCAAACATTTCCTGATGGCTTCACCTGCACCAAGGGCAAATAGTGTGCTCCAGTGAATACAGCGCTGAAGGTACCACAGTGAGATGTTAAACATTATGGAAAGCAACTTCCCACTTACAAAGGAAGAGTCTGAGGTGCGGCTTTGCTTGGCAGGTTCTATAATTTCAGCTTTAAAATAAACTCAGAGGAAGTAGCTTAAGCATCATTGTTGCTGCTTCCTTTGAAACAGAACATCACTGTGTGAACCCAGCTGTAGTAGGCCAGCTTTAAATAAACAGCCAAGATAACAGGCAGATGGACAGTAAAGAGCATTGATGACAAAAAGCATAACTAGGACTGCAAAGCTGTTTACTCATTAGTAATAGATAGGCGAGGTGACTTAGCTTACTGCTGCCTCCATGAGCAAACAGCTCAAGATTATACAGACCAGAACTTACAGCTCCTTCAAGGTGGGCACAGTGAATAGCACAGAACAGCAGTAACGGGCAGGTACACTGCTAACGATCACGTTACCTTTCTTCGCCTGTCTTCCTCTGCATATTTCTCTGCATTCTTCACCATGTTCTCAATTTCATCTTTGCTAAGGCCACCAGAAGACTGGATAACAACTGCATTAAAGAAGAAGCATTAATAAAGAATGTGCTCTCATCTTTGAGGAAAGGAGATTATTACTCCCCAAATCCTCTCAGTGGCAGCAGCCTTGCTTAGGGACTCTGCACCTGTGAAGACCCTGTGGGCAGTACAAAGGCAGTTTTTGGAAGGGCAGTGATGCTGCTGGCAAGATAAAAGCCTGACATCTTAGATGTATGAACTCCCCAGCTCTGCCAGACACTTCCTGTCCAACGGTCTCCAAGGCACTTGGACAGTTCTTCAGTCACTCCTCTGGGAAAGTGAATGTACACAAAGCCTCCAAACCAAAAGAACTTTCTAGCAGGTTAAAAAACATAAAACTAAAAAAAAAAAACCACCACCGAACCAACCAACAATCCAAACAGAAGGAATTGTTTTACCAGGGCACAGAGATCCCTTTCACTGTTGGAAGACAGCCCAGGCTGGTAGCAGGATAAGACAACATTCCCCACCCAGCTCCTCACTCTGCCCTTAACAAGTGAACACAGTGTGATTCTACGGGCAGGTTCTTAAAGGTGTCTTCCGTTTTTCTTTCTCCATTGGTGCCATAAAATATAGCCTAGACTTCAGCTAATTCCTGCAGTAAAACAATTTCATTGCAAAAGAGAGGACCAACATGCAGGATATTGCAAAGAACAAAAAAGGGTACACTGCAATCCTCATTAGAAGTTTTCTACCTAATTGTCCTGTATTTTTCAGCAGTACAAAGCCCTGAGAAGGGACACACACAGGTGTCCTTTGGATGAAGATGTGGGATGAGGAGTTCAGCTTTATAATCAGGTCCACATTTGCATACAGATAAGGCAGCTAAAACATTCTGGTTGCCAGGTTATTGGTAAATGGCTATTCAGAGGTATAAGGCTGCCATACACAGAAAATGTACAAGGAAATCAAAGTAACAAGCAGTGGGTTAATGGTAAATTTCTGCCAAGAGCCAAGCATCTTGATTAAGAAAAGCATCTAACTTCAAGTTGCCAATAAAGAGTTAATGTTTTTAACTGGAGTGTGCATTTAATTGCTCAAGTGACTGCCTCCAAGGAAAAAAATTGAATGGCAGAAGAGAGGCTTCCCAGTTAGAGGCACAAAAGAGATCTATTTTGTATCAGGGGAATCTACAAATGCTTCAAATTAATTTTCTGAGCCCACAGCAGAGCTTTAGAAAGTGTCAACTGTGCCGTTAATCACCCCAGAACACTGGGCCCAACATTTCATTGCACTACAGAGCAAAACAGACTGACAGCTTGAAGTCCCCAAGCCTCCTGCTACTTAAGAGATGTTTCCAGCCTAAATGGATGAAAATGAACAAGCTGGTTATGCAAAACACCTGCTGCTTCAAAATACTTGAATTTCAAGATCTTCGTATGAGTAATCGAAAACAAAACAGGGTCTTAGCACAGGGCTGATCTGTTCAGCTGTACTTGACATGCCTTGGATTCAACAGAGATTTTTCTAATTTGATTTCTCCCTTAAAAGCTGGCACTTCCCTACAGGCTGTCTCAGAAGTTATCACTTCACATGTTAGTGGAGGGCACTCCCAAAGGGCCAACAGGCCCAGGAACACAGCACAAGAACAACTTGTACAAGGTGCTGGATTCCCAAGTCCCCACTGCTGTCCCTTCAGGGTCACTGTTCTGAGCTCCTCCGTGACACAGGACACCCCTGTAAGCAGCAGGAGCACTGCTCCTCAAACACTTGTGAGCCCTCAGTTAGCTAACCTGTATGCCCAACACCTCTCCAAGAATGAAGGCACAGTTGATACATTAGGAAAATTCCAGGAAACAGTAGTACTCTGCTGAAACATCGCTATAGCAATCACAGCAGACAGCAAGACCAAGAAAGGACTGCCATATCACAGAATCACACAGCATCACAGAATCGCT